TCTGTGCGTCCGTCTTCAGCGTCTCTGGCCTGTGTTAACGGGCGTTTACAGACTTCATATTTTCACATAAATTACATTTTGGAAAATGATTGCATTGCAACGCAGTTTGTGCAAGTCCAGAACAGAGACGAGCTGCAATAAGACAAAAAACGGACGTTTGCTGATCGCGTAAGTTCCAGGGGAAGCACCTTAAGTTCGGCCATCCTACACACACGTGACTGACCGCTCGCTCGCTCCAACAGGAGGAGGAGGGTCGTGTTACTCTACACTGCACTCAACCTGAGGGATTCCTACACTTTCAGTCTTTGAGGAGACATGAAAAACAGCGCATACCGCAGGAACGGTATAACGGAAAATATTAGTGGTTTTGAAACCGTGAAATTTTCAAATCGCGGTATACCTTCAAACCGGTAATCGGCCCATGCCTAGACCATACATAAAGAGAACCATTTACTTCACTCCTGAATGAATCAACTATTTGAGCGAATCAAATAAATGACTCTGACTTAATCATTACGACCTTTACGACCACCTATTGGCATTTTTTGTTTATTATTTAGAGTATCGTTTCATTAAAGAAATAATTTCATATTTCGATAGTAATAATAATTTAAACAAATTATTAAGTATAGTTCATCCACCCAGAAATGAAAATTTTGTCATTTACACACCCTCATGGTCCAAAAGAGTATATGTAATAAATTTTGTTGAATCAAACAAAATATTTCTTGCTGAAGCTACTTTTTATAATGTCTGTTTGATGCTTTACACAACAATGACTTTAAATTATCTTTTGGGAGTAATTTCTCAGCCAAGTTTGATGTGCGATTAATTTGCGATTAATTAGATTAATTAATTGCCACATCATGTAATTAATTAGATTAAAAATTGTAATCGCTTACCAGCCCTAATATATATATTTTGCAATATAAATAAGCTTGTGGAGTTTTATTATATGCATAACAGTTAGTTCCGATTCTCAAATCTGACTGGACACTGTTGTAAACAGGCTGTCAGTCAGTGCAAGTTACATTGTTGTGCCAGTAGGTGGCAGCAAATGGCTACCTTTATGAGTGAGTCATTAAAACATTCTTTCAACTAATGTTTAAAAATGCTAATTCATTCATGGTGTTAAAATTAGTTGAACTTTGAGTGCCACTTTACAAAGCTCAGTCAACAAGCAACATGTCACTTGGGGTAACGCTGAAGCTGATATTTCACTTCATAGAGATCAGTGGCATTGATTAAGTGCTTTGACCAGAACAGACGCTGGTCGCTTTCATCTTTAGACAACTGATTTTTTATTTTTTATTTTTTGCAAATATATGATTTGACCTGAAAAAGGACAGATACAGGTAATTGCACATGCTCAGTCAATCTCGATCTCTATCTCTCTCTTTCTCTGCTTAGGCTTTTTAGTGCAAATCTACGAAACCTGTACAAATCACAATGGTACACCGAGTCTTAATGAACTAAAAGCAAGAGACAGTTGAAAAAAAAAAAAAACTCTTGTTATGATCAACTTATTTAACATCAATGCACATTCATTAAGTGTAAAACAAGAAGGGAATAAAAAAATTAAAAAAGTGAACATGCAGTTACTTGCCATACTCAGTTGGCTTGTCAGAATTGTGGTATTACAATGTTGATATCACGACAGCGCTATGCACACCTATCCATGGACAGCAGTTATAATTCATTTTATTAAAATCTGATCTACTAGATCTCTCCTAACCAGGTTGAAGATAAGGAGGTGGTGAAGGATCCCCCATGTTTCCTGCTGTCTTCTTTGAACCCACAGGAACGCATAGACTACAGTCATCTCGTAGAGGAGCTAGGTTAGTACACAAAGCAACCTAGTGCCTCCCATTTCTTGTACTTTTTTATGCTGTTTGTCAGTAGGCGCGTTTCCATTACAGATTTGCGCAAAACTTTGGCGATATTTTATAAATGTGGATAAAGTATTGCGGAATGACGGCGTTTCCATTAGCCAATGTTATACGACTAAAGCGTAAACTTTTGCCTCTCGCGATAAGTCATGGCAATGGGTTTTGGTGGGATTTTGACGGATTTTGGCTAAATTTATTAAAAGGAGGCATATGCATGTATCTTTACAGAAGCAGCACAGAGAGCCGCTTCGGAAATGTGCGTGGCGCGGATTCTGGAATAAACATAAGCATTGACTAGAGTTCAGCTTCAGTGGCCGTATCAGAGCCACACTGCACCGCAGACGTGTGCAGTGTACATTGTCTAAGCATGAATGGTAGGGAAAGCCCCTTATACTGGAGAGCGGCCATGTATGATGTGTTTCTTGGAAGTTACAGTACATTGAAGAATGATCATATGACTTTTTACATACGCCATGTGACCTGTAAATGCGAAAAAGCCGTTTCCATTGCAGTTTTGCGAATTATTCCTTTTTCACATTGCCCGAAAAATCACCTCATGCGAGAGTAACATTTTTTTTGCGATATATGGGCGTTTTTGCGAAATTTACACGTTTCCATTAGGCGTATTTTCAATTCGCAATTTCAATTTGCACAATTTGAAGGGTAATGGAAACGCGCCTACTGTACCTGACTGCACTGAATTTAATTTAGGGATGTGTAAAACTATGTATTTTCAAAATCAACTAATCAGCTAATTGATCTTAGGGACCCTCTATAAAATTAGACCTGTTGTCAGATTCCAGTCAAACACGTGTTCTTGTGAGCTTTCACATAATGCTTGTTTAATAATAACTCTGCTAAAAGTATAAAACGGGGAAAAAAACATTAAATTGATCAAAAGTGACAGTAAAGACATTTTTAATGTTACAAAACATTTCTATTTTACAGTGCCCCTATTATGGGTAATGAAAGGTTCATATTTTGATTTTGGGAGTTCCCAACAACAGGTTGACATGCATGCAAGGTCAAAAAACACTTTCATTGTCTTATAATATGCATTTATTTTTACCTTATTTGCTCAACGACTCCCAAATGATTCGTTTAACTATTCATTTTTCCAAACCCTTCCTTTGCGTGACAATAATCTGCGGTGATTGGTCCGATTGGTCTCATTTTCATTTCACCATGCCTGTAATGCCTGATAAAGCAGCGTTTGTGAGCGCAGTGCTGCTTTGTGTACAGCGTTACCGGGGAAACCGCTATTTTTACTGCTCCAAAAGCGCACCTAGTGGCAAAGAGTGAATTTGCATTTTCATTCAGACTAATGTGAAAGACCAACAAGTGGGCGGGCAATATGCTAATGTTTCATGTTGACGTCAACATGAAACAGCTTGGGATTCGTTTTAAAAACGACTCGTTTCAGTGATTCAGAGTCGACTCTTTCTTTTGAGAGACAATAACTTTATACACGGTGCACTTTCAGATTTAAAACTTGAAAGTGGATTCGGACGCGCCCTGAGTGCACCTGCGTCATGCGCTTTAGACCATGCGCTTAGATCGTTAAAATAGGGCCCTAAGTGTGGCGGCACTTACCCTGGGGGAAATATATATGTATATAATGTAAATATAAAACAGATGGGCTGATTGAAAATGCGAATTCATTCTCTGCCAGCAGGAGGCGCTTTAAGAGCGGCAGAAATAGTGGTTTCCCCGGTAACAGCTGTAAACATAGCAGCGCTGCTCATGAATGCTACTTTATCAGGCATTATAGGAAACATTATATGAAAATGACATCAAAACTTTTCTGAAGACAATTGGTTCCCTTCAAAAAAGATACATTTATATAAAAACACCCGTGCCACGTTTTGGTTTTGAAACAGTGCTCATGTTTATTCAACGAAGTCAAAGCTTTTTGCTAAATCTATTTGTGGTGGTCAGTGTTGATATTGTGGCGGGTCGCCACAAATAAATCAATGTATGGGAAACCCTGTGTGAGTTTGGGTTTATTATAAAGTTCATCTGGGAATGCAACATGCACCATTTCTTCAGATTACAGTGGCTGTAGCATTTCTGTCTTAAAGAAATGACCAAATATTAAAGATTAAGTGGACATTTGAATTAAAGGGGTCATATGATGCGATTTCAAGTTTTCCTTTCTTTAGTTAATATTAAACAAGGATTAGATCACACCAAAAAGTGTAAAAACAATCTTCAGGCCATTGGCGCTCTCTGCAGACCTTTAATATATTGCATAATGTACGTTAGTTCTATTGTTTATAATACATTATGTATTTTCACAGTTTTGTTCAATAAAACCATATGATTACTTGCTTTTGATACTTTATTTGAGCCAATTAGTATTGCCTCATTGCTATTATATATGTATTTTAAGTAATTTTAAAGGCTATTGTTTGCTTAGGTCTATTTTTATTACCTCAAAGAAAATTATTATAATTATTCGATTAATCGTCAGAATAATCCACCGATTACATGATTACCAAAATAATTGTTAGTGACAGCCCTAAATTCAACATTGTTTTCAACATTGATAATAATAAGAAGAAATGTTTCTTGAGGATGAAATCATCATATTACAGTAATTTCTGAAGCATCATGAAAGACTGAAGACTGGAGTAATGCTGCTAAAAATTCAGTTTTGCCATCAGAGGAATAAATTATATTTTAAGATATATTAAATGGTAAAAGGTTACTGTATTTATTATATTCAGTTGTTGTATTCCATACCTAATTGAATTTCTTCTATTTGATGCGTCATGTTTGTGTACATGTGCAGGTGGTGTTGTGCTGGAGAAGCAGAGTTTTGACCCCAGCTGCACTCATGTTATTGTTGGTTATCCTCTGAGGAATGAGAAGTATCTGGCCGCTATGGCACCAGGCAAGTGGATTCTTCACCGCTCATATCTGGAGGCCTGCCGTGCAGAAGGACACTGCATAGAGGTGTGTGTCTGCATTTGTGATTGGGGTCATTCAGTGATGAAAAAAGATGTTCATGTCCTGTATGTCTATTAGGAGGAGCAGTATGAGTGGGGCAGCAGCTCTATCCTGGATGCTCTGCCATCCATCAACTCTCAGCAGAAGAGACTGGCACTGGCAGCCATGCGATGGAGGAAAACACTACAAGGCTGCTCAAACAAGGAGGTACGCATAAATATGTTATGCTTGGATGCGCATGCAAGAACATGGTGCAGCACCTAACGCTGTTGATGTGCAGGGAGTGTTTGGTGGCTGGACTGTGATGTTGAATATTGACCAGGCCAGAAAGGCTGGATTCAGACGGCTGCTGGAGTCCGGGGGAGCAAAGGCCTGTTTTCTTTTGTCTTCTGTTCTCTTTTGATCCCACACTGAATCCATAAAAGCATTGTTTTTCTCTAACCTTATAAGCAGTGGTTTCTGTTTCCCCCTCCTTCCTTTCTGTGTTGTCTCTCTGTTTCTCTTGTATTAACCCTCTCTCCCCCGTATAGGTGTTGCCACACCCTTCTCCCTCGCTGTTTAAAGAGACCACTCACCTGTTTGTGGATTTTAGTCGGTTAAAACCGAGTAATGTCAGAGTGGATGTCAGGGAAGCTGCAGCTTAGGGGGTAAAATGTCTTAAACCAGAGTACATTGCTGATTACCTCATGCAGGTGAGAGATGATGTTTCAGATATAAATCACACTCCTGTTTAGGGCAGAACGTTTTAGGGATTTTTTTATTTTTTATTTTTTAGCTCCTGGTTTGCTGTGTAGAGCTGCACGATTTGGCCAAAATGGTGTAATTATATATCAGTATGACTATAAAATAATCATAAAAATCAAATTCATTTACAGTAAAAATTAAATATTATATTAAATGTTAAACTATCAAACAAAATAACAAATATAACCACAAGCAGCAGTTATCAGGGTCTAAGTACAAACAGCTCATGTAGACGGTATGGTTGTACAATGGTCATGTCTCTTTTCAAATATAATGAATCTCTCTATGGAAGTTTTATTCTGTATTACAACAGACAAAAAATATTGTCTACAATACATTCAGTCATGTCTAGCAACTTGATTACTGAAATATGTTTTCAGTATCTTTAGGATATATAATAATAAAAAGATCACCGATTTTGCTTCTAGCCCTTATGATTACAGAGTTATGAACCAAATGCAAAAGTGCTTATTATAGCGCCACCAAGTGTCCGATAGATGTGTCTGAGTGCCCGAGTAGCAGGTGGGATTTCTGACATCCTGCGAAGTTTAATGTTTCTATGACTGATGCCCACACAGTTTTAGTGCCGAAAAAGAATAATAAGAAGAAAATCCTTACAAATACAATAAGGTTCCAGTACCTTTGGTGCTTGGGCCCCTAAATATTATTATTGTTATATTTCACTATATTAAAAAATTAATCTGTAAGAAGTTTAAGAAAAATAATCATAAAAAATTACAGTACAATTTGTATTATTATTACTTAATTAAAATAAGAAAGTTTGCTGTTGTAACTTGTCACTGAAAAATAAATCTCTGTAAAAACATTTTATAATAAAAGTGTCAAGATTTTTTTTTTTTTTTTACAATACAGCTGTCTAAGTTTCTTTATTTTTCAAACATTAAGCCATCAAGCTTCTCTTTTCCTGACATGCTCATTTGTTGGAAAGCGGTTCTCATTGCAAGTTTTTGAAGAAGATTTGCATATGTTGCTTTCTCAAATGTACATTATAAGCAACCTAGTCTCAGCCTCAGATGCCACACCCACGGAACGTTGGCTAAACGTCTGATGCATATGGCACACAAAAGTGGAAAAACTTCAGGAGTTTCGAAGTCATCATCTGATTGGTTGAATAATACAGCATTTCGAGTGTCGCATTCTATAACGTTCGGCCTAGAAACAAAGATGCCGTGACGCCAAACCCCCTCACGAAAGAAGAAAGCCGTCGTGTTTACAACTGTGACGACG